TATAAAGTTAGGTTACATATATTTTTATCTTAGTGTGGGAATATAGTAATATAATCAGCCCTCCCAATCATCTTTACTTCCGCTGCATTCATGTGTTTTGATGTGTTGTTAATTTTTTTTGTTAATTTTCTTTGGTCTTGTTATTTATTTTTTTTTTCATAGCTTATATTCTTTGACCTAGTCATTGCTCAGGAGCATTTTTTTTTTTATTTTCATATATTTGTCAATTTCTCAGTCTCTTTCCTGTTATTGATTTTGAGTTTCATGACATTGTGATTGGAAAATAGATTTCAATTTTAAGCTTCTTAAAACTTGTTTTATGACCATATATATGATCTGTCATGGAGAATTTTCTGTGTGCACTTGAGAAGAATAAATGTTCTGCATTATTGGATGTAATGTCCTTTATGCATCTGTTAGGTCCATTTGGTATAAAGCATAATTCAGGTCCAATATTTCATACTGTTTTCTGTCTGCATGATCTATATTAATTGTTAAAGATGGGGCTATTAAAGTTCTCTACTATTATTGTGTTTCTGCCTATTTCTGCCTCAAGATCTGTTAATATTTGCTTAATATATTTAAATGTTTTGTCTCAATTAACCACTTTATCACTATAATAACTTCCTGTGTCTCCTGTTAATTTTTGACTTAATGTCTGTTTTGATTGCATAATGTAGTTAGTCATACTCTCTCGTGGTTTTCATTTATGAAACATCTTTATTCGTCCCTTCATTTTAACCTATATGTGTCCTTAAAGCTGAAGTGAGTCTCTTGTAGGCAAAATAGATTGGAGTCTTGTTTTGTTTTTATGTTGCTTAATCCCTTTAGCTACACTATATCTTATAATTGGAGGATTTAATCCATTTATATTTAAAGTGTTGTAGAAATAAATTCTAGGGCCTCCCTGGTGGCACAGAGGATTGAGCACCATGCTGTGAAGCTGTCCGCAGCCTTTGCAGTGCGGGGTTCAATCCATCCGGCGGTGAGAATCCCACATGATGCAGCAATCTCTCCTGTCGCATCCGCTGCTCCCCTCAGCAGTGTATTTTTGTCGTCTGCCTTTTCTGCTCCCTGCTCTGTCTCTAGTGAATCCTTTCACCCTCCTGCGCCTCTGGCCTGTACCCCAGCTCTTGTATAAAAATAAATTAATCTTTAAAAAAAAAAAGAGATAAATTTAAAAAGAAAGAGAGAAAGAAATTCTAGCCTTTCACCCAGGCAAAGGAAGAACAAGCAGTACTTCAGGAACAGTGAGGTCAGGAGAAGCTTTATTACTCATGCATGAGGTCCCAGACATGAGTAGCCCCATAAGGTCTGCGCACTGGTTTAAAGACCATGGGATCCTTTTATACACAACTGTCTCCATATCTGTTACATGGATAACATCACTTTTCAGCAGGCACAACCATTTGCAGCAAAGTCCCCAGACACGGGGGGCAAGGCAAAGGGGGGAAAGATGCAGGCATTCGGGGATGGCCTTGGAAAGACTGATCAGCTGGTTGGCTGCCAGACCTTGTAGATAAGAGTGCCGAGGCCCTGGCCATGAATCTTGAAAGGGAAGAAGCTGTAAGGAAGCAAACTTGTTGATTATGCCTGCATTGGAATGTTCATTGCACCTGGGCTAGAAGTTCTGATGGAATCTTTATTATATTCATTTGCTCAATAATATATTTTCTCATCAAAAGTAGTTATATTGACAGGCAAAGCCTTACTATAATCATCCTGTTAATTTTTTTGTGTGGTTGCTTTATTTTATTCTTTCTCTCCCTCTTCTTCTTTGTGACTTGATGGTTTTCCATAGTGATGTATTTTGATTCCTTTCTCCTTATAGTTTGTGTGCCTATTAAGGTTTTTACTTTGTGATTACAATGAGTCTTACATAAGACATATTATAGATATTTTTTGAATTTTCATTTCATTCATTATATTCTTTGGAGACAGAATTTAAATTTGTATTTCTCTCTCTGTGTTGAAATTCTTGTTTTGCTCGTATATTGCTTTTCTGATTTCATTCTGAATTCTCTACTAGCTTGTTGAGCTTCCTTTCAAAAATTATCCTGAATTCTTCATTTAGCAATTCATCAATCACTAGATCTTTTTGGTCAGTTAATGGAAAATTATTGTGTTTATTTTGTGGTGTCATATTTCCTTGATTTTCTTTTCACCTCTCTTCTAGCTTTTTGTTGAAATGTGTGTTTAATAGAGCAGAAACCTCTTCCAGACTTTATAGATTGAGTTTGATGGGGAAAAACCTTCACCTGTGGGGTGGCTACAAGGGTGCTTGTCAGGTGTGGGGTGTCCGTTCTGATTCTGAGAAAGACCAATGTAGTCTCTACATGCCTACAAGAGATTAACTTCAACCTTAAGTTACACATCAGATGAGGTCAGTGTCAGCAAAGATAGAGGGGTTTCTCAATGACCAGTGTTGCTGGGGACCTTCTGAATGCTATTTATTCCACAGGGCCAAAGAGATATCGCTCAGCACAGGGTCCATTCTGGGGTATCCTCATAGTAGTGATGTTACTGGAATCTGATGCACGAGTGCACATAGTGAACAACAAAGTGGGTTCTAAAGCATAGGCACACATGGAACAGCCAGAGTTTTGGGGTCCACGTTGTGACAGACTCAGGGGAAGGCTGTCAGCCCTGATCCCAGGGTAGTACAATGGGAACTCCTTCTGGGAAGTGTGTACCAGTAACTCCCTCCTGAGGGAGTCCACAGTGGTTATTGTTACTGGCTATATCAGCAGCAAAAACTGCTGATATCCAATGCAGCACAGACCACTGTAGCCCACACCAATGAACACCATGGGGTCTTCCTCTGTCATAGGTGTGGGGAGTTCACAACTGTTTTAGGATTTATGAAGGAGGTCAGCGTCAAAGACTGCTGGTTTCTTCCACAGTGCCAAGTGATGGGGACTGTGATGACACTAGTTGCATGGCTGATACCAGTAACCTCTGCCCTTTGTTGTTCCTAGGTGTCTCCAGATAGTAAATATTTAACCTCTGGGGCCATACAATCTCTGTTGCAAATACTCTCCATCATAGCCTGCGGTCAGCTATAGACAATTCATAGACAAATGGGTATGACTGTATTTTTAAAGATTTATTTAATTTATTTACTTGTGCATACAAGAAGTGAAGTGCAATCCAGAGGTGCACAGTTGAGAGAATTCACCTAAGACCGAATGGGGAACATAACAGGCAGATTGAGTGAATCACTCTGCTGAGGGGAACAGTGGGTGAGACAGGAGAAGTCTGCTGCGCATTGTAGTTAGCTCCCTGGCCAGGAATCAAACTCTTGCTGCAGTGGCTGCTGATGGCCACATAGTGCTTAGACCTAACCCCTTTTTCCTTGAGTACCCAGGAGGCCCAGATATGGCTGTATTACAAAGAAACAGTTTGTAGACATAAAAATTAGAATTTTATGTAATTCTCACATGCTGTGAAATAGTTTTTTTGTTTTATCTTATTGCCCGTAATCACTTCAAAATGTAAACCATTCTTAGGTATTGGTGGCAGGCTGTGCTTTCTTGGGTTTTCTAAATCCACTCCAAAAGCATATTAAGGTAAAATTACCAGAGGTATTGGGAGGATTTTTTAAATACAAGTAAATCAAGAGAATTTAGGCATGTGTCGTGTGAATAGAGCCATGAAGAGAGGGTGTTTCAGAGAACATTGTAAAAAGAAAAACTAAATTTCTCTGGTTCCTCAGGCTCATACTAGGTCCCTGATGGGTCCCCACTGCCATTACCCAGGTGGACATTCTGGAGCTCTTAGAAGATCTCACACCAGAGATGTTCACAGAAGAGACATAGCAATGGATCCACAGATCATGATCTCAGAGACATGACACTCTAGTCTCAACAATGCTGAATACAAGTTGACCCTGCATCCCACATCCCCCAGATTTTCCTCAGTGTACTCAAAAAGGCACAACAGGTGACCTTGAGCCCTCATGGTTTAGCAGGTTTCCCCAGATGATCTGGGCTTTAGAATCCCAAAGAAGTGGGGAAGGTGGAAAGGAAGGGACAGTAACAATTTCTCTATATGGAATCTGACAAGCTGTGAGCCTGACGTCCCTCTCTGCGGGACAGTCCCTGATGGGTGCTCAGGTCCACACAGTTCACAAAGCATGTCCCTGTCTTTCTCAGGTGGGTCCCCCAGACACTGACTGTGACGCAGGATTTGAGTGCAGGTTGTGACGGGGGATGGGATCCATGGAGGCGCCATAGGAGAGAGAAGTGGGACAGGGAAGGAGGAAAGCCCACGTGACCTGCATATGGAGCAGGTTCCACTGTGACATCTGAGGTTCACTGTTGCATCTCTAGGGGACAGTGAGAACGTGCCTCAGAGCTTTAGTCCACGAGCCAAGTATCTGTCACCGTCATTGGTCAAGGGCTCCCACTGGAGCATTAACTCCCCAGCACTTGTGGCTGCCTCACCCGAGGGCTGAGGGAAATCTCAACAGACACACAGGGGCAGAAGGACATGTTGCCTGCGCTTCCATGGTGTGTGCTGGGGAGGTACTGTCAGCACCACCTGTTAAAACATCCGGTGTCTCCTTCACGCCCCACGACCTCCTGCAGGAGATATCACAACCCCCAGTCTCCTGAGGCTCAGTGAGTCCAAGGCCTCAATACATGGGCTTGTAAAAACAGGGAGCTGTGTCTCTTTTGTTCACTTTTTATTCACCGTCCTAAACATTGTCTGGCACAGAGTGGGCCCTTGATTAATACTTGGAAGTCACTCAGGGAGTATGAATTGGTCAAGATGAGCTGGTTTCTCCTCCCCAAAGTCCATGCTCTTTCTACTGTTCTGAAAAGAACCTACAAGAGTTGGCAGCCTGGTTTTGGGGTGGGTGCCTAACACTGTTGAAGGAATGAATATATGAATAAATATATAAATCTATACCTTTATGTTACATCTTTCCGTCCTTTCTTAGGAAAAACAAAAATTTCTCAGAAACAAAGGTCAAAAAGGACCTGCACCACACAGTCATGGGAAACAAGGATTTGTACCATGAAGTCAAACAGCTGGTACTTATACAAAGATCTCATCTCAGAGGCCATGAGTTCCAAGGCAGGGGAAACTGGCACCTTGGGGTGCTACAGGAGCGAGGAATTCTGATTAATATCAGAGACTTATTTGGCCCAGGGCCTCACACGGTCATACTGCATGGGGATGCTGGCGTTGGGAAGCCTACACTGGCTAGACAGGTGAGGAGGGCCTGGGAGGAAGGCCAGCTGTACAGGGACCGCTTCCAGCACGTCTTCTACTTCAACTGCAGTCAACTGAGCCTGGCAAAGACAATGAGTCTCACTGAACTCATCACAGAAGTCGGGGCTGCCCCTGAGGCTGCCATTGGCCAGATACTATCTCAGCTAGAGAAACTGCTCTTCATCCTTGAAGGTTTGGATGAGCCACAATGGGACGTATTGAAGCAAAAGCATGACCTCTACTTGCAGCAGAGCCAGAAGCAACCACTGTGCCCACTACTGAGCAGGTTGCTGAGTAAAACCATAGTTCCAGAGGCATCCTTGCTGATCCCAGCTAGAACCAGAGCTCTAGAGAAATTCATCCCTTTTTTGGAGCACCCACAATGGGTGGAGGTGCTGGGGTTCTCCGAGTCTGGCAGGAAGGAATATTTCTGCAAATATTTCACAGATGAAGGCCAAGCAGGTAGAGCCCTGAGCTTGGCTGAGTCAAACCGCGCGCTCTGGGCCATGTGTCTGGTGCCCTGGGTGTCCTGGCTGGTCTGCACGTGCCTGAGGCAGCAGATGGAGCAGGGGCGAGAGCTCTCGCTGACGCCCCAGACCACCACGGCCCTCAATCTGCAGTACCTTTCCCAGGCCCTGCCCGCTGAGCCCCTGGGGACCCAGCTGAGGGGCTTGTACTCTCTGGCTGCTGAGGGCATCTGGGATAGAAAGACCCTCTTCAAGAGGGAAGACCTCAGGTAGCATGGCATAGAAAGCACCGTGGTCTCCAGTCTCCAGAAGATGGGGATTCTCCGACCCTATCCCCCCACTCTGAGCTACAGCTTCATTCATCTGTGTTTCCAGCAGTTCTTTGCTGCAATGTCCGGTGTGCTGGGGTGTAGGAAGGAGGGAAGTGGTCATCCTAAAAGCACTGTAGATATAGGAGAGCAGCTAATAGAACATTGCGGGCATGTCTTCGGGGCACCAACTATGCATTTTGTATTGGGCCTTTTGAGTGAGCAGGGCATGAGAGAGATGGAGCGCATCTTCCGCTGCACACTGTGTTGGGAGAGGAGGCAGGAACTCCTGGAATGGACCCAGGAAGAGGTGTGGCAAAAGTATTTCTCCCCACAGCTATGCTCCCTACCGTTGTTTCGCTGTTTATATGAGATTCAGGATGAGGTTTTCCTGACACAAGCAATGGTCCATTTCCGAGAAAGAGACATGTGTGCTGCAACTGACATGGAGCTCCCGGTGTTCACTTTCTGCATTAAATTCTGCCACCGTGTGCAGTGGCTTCAACTGAAAGGGGCTTCAACTGAAAGAGGACAGCATAAACAGGTGTGGAATCGCCACAGTATGGTCCTGGGAGTACCCACCCCCTTCCTCTCCCCACACCTCTGTTGCTTCTGCCACCCTGGGCTTGGGAAGAATCCTCACTAAGCCTGGCCCCAAGGGTTAAAGGGCCAAGGTCACCCATGATTTCTACCTGCCAAATCTGACCTCTGTTCTCTGACACCTCAGCCCTCTGCAGCATGTGGCCTGCCCTGTCAGCTCCTGGGCAGAACTGCAGTGACCCTGCCTCTTCCTGCTGCTGCTTGTCCTGCCTCTGTGATGGCCCCATCTCTTCCCTGGGTGCACTTCCAGCCCCTGCAGACCCAAGAACCCCTCACACCCTCCGGCAGCCCACCTGCTTCTGCTTCTCTGCGGACTTATTTCTCCCTGAGAAGCTGCTCTCTCCAATGCTCAGGATCCCCTTAGTGGCTACTGACAATGACACAACTCTGAGATCTGCCCATCACCTCCAGATGACTGGGCTCAATGGAGTGTGTTTCCTGGAAACCTGCTTCCCTGTTTGTGTCAGTGAGGCACTATTGCCTCTGGGGCTCACCCCCAAACCACCCTCTCAGCATGATGGGGTCATTTTTCTAGCCCCCACCTATTTTACACTATTGATCATTTAATGCTTAATCTATCTCCCCTTTTAGATGATTCCTTTCATGTACTTATTAATACTGACTTTATGTCAGATCACAGGTTAATTAGTAAAGCACTGCCCCTGTCCTCGATGAACTCAAAAACTGACGGAGACATATTCAATAATGAGAACAGAGCGTGACCCCTGCTGTAGTGACGAGGGCAGCAGGAAGGAGCAGGCTTTGACCAAAAATGTTGGATTCACACCTTTTGTTTTCATATTTTATCCATCAAAATAAAACCTGTGACACTGTGGAAATACAGTAAGCAAAGTGATGAAAACTAATGTCCATCAGAATCCCATCACTTGAGGGGACCGTCCGCCTGGAGGTGCATCCTCTACTGGGTCCTGTGCATATGCATGACAGGGCCACCCTGCGTTTTGTGTTACCATCAGCTTTATCTTCTTTGTATTTACTTCAAATCTACCTTCTTGTGCTGTGAAGTAGCCTGATGCAACGTCCTTCTGCATCAGCAGGTGATGTCCATGCTCTCTTTGGGTGCTGAGGGTGTTTCTAGGGGCTCATGGCTGTGAGTGTGACTGGTCCTTCGAGAAGGCCATGGATGTCGGTGCTGCAAATGGTGGTGCCAGCATGGGGCCTGCAGAAGGGCCCTGAGGGGTCACAGAGGGAGACACCAGAGAGGAGCAGGAGGAACCAGGGGATACAGGCTAGAATAAGAGCGTCTCAGTGGACGCTGACACATGGGTTCTGGAGAGTCCCAGGGGAGAGTCAGGGCCTTCAACTGCAGTGGGAGGGAGATTTCAAAACCCAGGGTCCTTCAGGCAAAGCAGAGAGAATGGCGAGGAGGCTACTGTAAACACCCAAAGTCCGGGAGGAATGATGGAGGCTCACCCAGGCTGTGGGATGGCGACCAGGAGCAGCCCGGGGGTGAGGGTGAGCAGCTTCCCGGGTTTTGGCTTGTAATTCACCCTGTGCGTTTTGTATAATAAAGTTTTATTCTGTATTCCCTCTAATCAAGCCTAAAGATGGCCAACTGGTTGAAACAAATCTTAAAATCATTATTCAAATATCATGAGCCTAATAAATTAAAGCAAAATTTAAATATTGAGGCTTTAGGGTGTTTTGTAGCATCGACTTTGGAGCCCTGCTCAGTGCAGTGGGTTCTGCCAGGTTTCAATGCGCAGTGACACCCCCACAACTGACCCTCCTCCCCTAATGCCCTCCCCTCACCAGGAAGCCCTCCTCTGTGGTTCACTGTACAGCCCTTGCCATGCCGTACTGAAGTGTTCATTTTGTGTGTCTGTCTGCCTCAGCATGGGACTTCCTGAGGACTGGGGCAGATAGAGCCCTTTTTTAGTCTGCATTGCCAGCAAAGGGCCCGGCACAGAGAAAAAAAGTTGGGGTCAGGCAGCTCCTCCCTTTGCTGCAGAGACCCCGGTGTTCCTCTGCCTAGACATTCTGGACATCCAGCACCAGGGAGGAGAGGAGGGTTGGGAGAAGGGAACAGAGCCCAGGGAGGTGGCGTGAGAACGACATGGTGGTGACAGGGTTTTATGTGGTCATTTATACGGTCATCCAGGTTGGCCTGCAGGAGACCCTGTGCACTTTCAAAAATAGGAGGCGCACAGAGTAGTCCCCGGAGAGAGATGATAAGGGGGGATGTCCCAGAAGGACATTGGCAGCCCAGACACATCACGTCTCTCCTGCCCCACTTCCCTCCCTCAGGTTCACTCGCTTCCTGATCACAGATGCCTCTTGGAAGATTCTCTTCTCCATTCCCGGGGTCACTGGGAGCCTAACGGAGCTGGACCTCAGTGGAAACTTCCTGAGCCCCTCTGCAGTGCAGAGTCTTTGTGAGGCCCTGAGGTGCCCCCGCTGCACTCTGGAGACCCTGCGGTGAGTCTGGCCTGGGGTCTGCTCTGAGGCAGGTGGGCAGGAGTCCCAGAAGGAGCTGAGTGTAGGATGGGGAGTTGTTCTTCGCAATCAACAAATTGTGTGTGTTTTCTTTTTTATATATTTTATTATTTTATATATTTTTTACACATTTTTTGTTTATGTACAATGTATGCATTTTCATCTTGGTTATAGTCCCCGTAAAATTCCCACCACACCTGTTTTGATCCTACTCCTTTCCCCACCCCACCCCCATCCCAGCCCCTACTGTGTCTCTGGTTTATAGTGGCCTGTTGATTTTGATGTTTACTTTATTATAATTAGCCTTTTTCCTTGTCCCTTATTTGGGTTCTAAATTCCTGGTGTGAGTGAGACCATCCAGAATTTTTCTTTTTCTTTCTGGCTTATTTCACTGAGGATGATCCCTTCCAACTCCATTCATGTTGCTGCAAATGGCATGAGTTTATCTTTTTGGATTGCTGAGTAATATTCCATGGTGTATATGTACCACATCTTCTTGATCCAGTCATCTATTTTTGGGCATTTGGGTTGTTTCTATAACTTATTTATTATAAATAGTGCTGCAATAAACATATGGGTGCAGGTGTCCTTTTGAATTCATGTTTTTGTGTCCTTTGAGTAGATATCTAGGAGTGAAATTGCTGAATCAAATGGAAGTTCCATTTTTAGCAGGTTGAGGAGAATGTCCACACAGCTTTGCATAGTGGTTGGACCAGTTTGCACTCCCACCAGCAGTGCAGGAGAGTTCCTTTTTCTCCACATCCTCACCAACATTTATTATTGCTAGTTTTTTTTTTTTTATTGTGTGCCATTCTCACTGGTGTAAGATGGTATCTCATTGTAGTTCTTATTTACATTTCCCTGATTACAAGTGATGCTGAACATTTTTTCATAGCCTGTTGGCCATTTGCATTTCCTCTTTGGAGAAGTCTCTTTTTAGCTCTCTGCCCATTTTTTTTTACTGGATTATTTACTTTGTTTTTGTTGAGTCTTATCAGCTCTTTGTAGATTTTTGTGATCAGTCCTTCATCATCAGTGTTGTGTGCAAAAATTTTCTCCCAGTCACTGGGGTATCTCTTTGTTTTGGTTTTTGTCTCTTTTGCTGCACAGAATCTCTTTAATTTGATGTAGCCCCAGCTGTTGATCTTTGCCTCCACTATCACTGCTTTGGGTGATGTGTCTGTAAAGATGTTTTTGAGGTGTATGTCATGTAGTGTTTCGTCTATAATTCCTTCTATGTATTTTATGGTTTTGGGTCTTATGTCTAGTTCTTTAATCCATTTTGAGTTGGTTTTTATGCATGGACTGAGGTAGTAGTCAAGCTTCATTCTTTTGTATGTAGTGACCCAGTTTTCCCAGCACCATTTATTGAACAAACTTTGTTTGCTCCATTGCATATTCTTTGCTCCTTTGTCAAAGATTAGTTGACCATAAATCCGTGGGTTTATTTCTGGGTTTTCTGCTTGGTTCCATTGGTCCATGTGTCTGTTCTTGTTCCAATACCATGCACTTTTGATTATTATGGCTTTGTAGTATAGTTTGAAGTCTGGGAGTGTGATACTGCCATTCCCTTTTTTTTTTTTTTTTTTTTTTCAGGAGAGCTTTGGCTATTTTTGGTGTGTCCATATGAAGTTCATCAACATTTATTCTATTTCATTGAAGAATGTCATTGAAATTTTTATTGGAATAGCATTGAATCTGTAAATTGCTTTTGGTAGGATGGTCATTTTTATAATGTTAATTATTCCAATCCATGAGCAGGGGATGTCTTTCCATTTCTTTGTGTCTTCTTTTATTTCTTTTATAACATTATTATAGTTTTCTTTGTATAGGTCCTTTGCCTCTTTTGTTAGATTTATTCCCAAGTATTTGAGCTTTTTCAATAATAAAAGCAATGGTTTTCTTGATTTCCTCTTCTACAGATTTATTGTTTGTATATAGGACAGCTACTGATTTTTGTCTGTTGATTTTGTATCCTGCCACTTTATTAAACCGGTTGATTTGTTTGATTAGTTTTTCTGTCGAGATTTCAGGTTACCTATGTATATTATCATATCACCTGCGAATAGTGATAGTTTTACTTCTTCCTTCCCTATTTGGATTCCTTGTCTTTCTCTTGACTTATTGCTCTGGCTAGGACTTCCAGTATTATATTGAGAAGCAGTGGTGAGCATGGACATCCTTGTCTTGGTACAGATCTTAAGGGAAATGCTTTCAACTTTTCACCTCCAAGAATGATATTGGCTATGAGCTTGTCGTATGTGGCCTTTATGATGTTGAGGTATGTTCCTTGTATCCTGAGAATTTTGAGTGTCTTTATCATAAATGGATTTTGAATTTTGTTGAAAGCTTTCTCAGCATCTATTGATATTATCATATGGTTTTTATATTTCTTTTTGTTCACATGTTGGATTACATTTATTGATTTTCAGATGTTGAACCATCCTTGTGTCCCTGGAATAAACCCTACTTGGTCATGATGAATTGTCTTATGGATACATTGTTGGAATCTGTTAGCTAATTTTATTGAGGATTTTTGCATCAGTGTTCATTAGAGAGATTGGCCTGTAGTTTCTTTTTCTGTGTTGTCCTTGTTCAGTTTTGGTATTAGTGTAATGTTGGTTTCATAAAACACATTTGGTATTATCCCTTCCTTCTCAATATTTTGAAATAATTTGTGTAGAATAGGCACTGGTTCATTTCTGAATGTTTGGTAGAATTCATTTGTAAATCTATCTGGTCCTGGGCTTTTGTTTTGGGGGAGGGTTTTGATTACCATTTCAATTATTCTGCTTGTAATTGGTCTGTTTAGGTGTTCTATTTCTTCTTTTTCTAGCTTTGGGTGATGTAAAGTTGTAGGAACTTGTCCATCTCTTCTACATTGTTGAACTTGTTTGCATATAACTGTTTCTAGTAGTTTCTGATTATTCTTTTGATTTCTGCTGTGTCTGTTGTAATTTCTCCTCATTCACTTGTGGTCCTATTTATTTGTGCTTTCTCCCGTTTTTTCTTTGTGAGCCTGGCTAGGGGTTTATCTATTTTATTTATTTTCTCAAAGAACCAACTTTTGATTGCATTGATCTTTTGGATTGATTTTTTAATTTCTATTTCATTTATTTCTGCTTTTATTTTTATTGTTTCCTTTCTTCCACTGGCTTTAGGGTTTTTTTGTTGTTGTTCTTTTTCTAGTTCTCTGATATGTGAGATTAGGTTGTTTCTTTGAGTTCTTTCTTGTTTCTTGATGTGAGCCTGTCTTGCAATATATTTTTCTCTTACTACTGCTTTTGCTGCATCCCATACATTCTAAAATTGGTGTCTTCCTTGTCGTTCAGCTCAAAGTCTTTTTTAATTTCTTCTTTGATCTCCTTGTTAGTCCAGTGGTCTTCCAATAGTGTGGGTTTCAGTCTCCATGAGGTGGGAGGGTTCTTTGCCTACTTTTTATGGTTTGTTTCTTGTTTGATGCCTTCATGGTCAGAGAAGATAGTTGGTATGATTTCAATCTTGGTGTATCTGTTGATGTTTGTCTTGTGTCCCAGTATGTCATTGATCCTAGAGAATGATCCGTGTGTGCTTGAGAAAAATGTGTACTCCGATTTTTTTGGATGCAGTGTTCTATAGAGATCTGTTAATTCCATGAGGTCTAGATCCTTATTTAGAGCTTTAGTGCTCATATTTATTTTTTTAAATCATTGATCAATCCATTGTTGAGAGTGGTGTGTTAAAATCTTCTACTATATATGTATTTTCTCTGATGTTGTTTTCAGAGATAATAATAGTTGTCTGATATGTTTTGTTGATCCTTCATTTGGTGGGTATATGATAATGAGTGTTATGTCTTCTTGATGCATTGTCCCCTTAATAATTAATGTACTGACCATCTGGGCCACTTTTTACCTTTTTAAGTTTGAAGTCTGTTTTATCTGATATAAGTATAGCTGTTCACGCCTTCCTTTTTGGTCCATTTGCTTGTAGGATGTTTTCCATCCTTTTACTTTCAGTCTATATTTATCTTTTGTAGTTATATGTGTATCCTGGAAAGTAAAAGGTTTGATTTTGTTTCTTAATCCAGCCAGTGACTCTGTGTCTTTTTTTTTTTTAAGATTTATTTATTTATGCATACAAGAGCTGGGGTGCAGGGCAGAGGTTTGGGGGGTGAGAGGCTTCACTAGAGACAGAGTGGGGAATAAACAGGCAGATTGACTGAAATACACTGCTGAGGGGAGCGGCGGCTGAGTCAGGAGAAGTCTGCTGTGCCATGTGGACCAGCTCCCTGGCTGGGGATAGAACTCGTGCTGCAGTGGCTGCGAACAGCTTCATAGGTTGTGTCTTAATCCCTTGCACCACCAGGGAGGCCCATCTGTGTCTTTTCATTGAAGAGTTTAGTACATGTACACTTACAGTGAATATTGATGCATTAGCATCTGTACATTTTGTTTGTCTTTTTTTGTGGTTTCATTTTTTGTCTTGTTTCATTCTTATTCATCCCTCTGTTGGTTCGGCTTTAGGACTCTTTGTAGTATTTTTTTGGAGTGGGGATTTAGTCGTAATGAAATTCTGGAGTTTCTGTGTGACTGAGAAGGTCCTTATTTTTTCTTCATAGAGGACAGAAAGCTCTGAGGGATAAAGTATTCTTGGTTGGCATTTGCTGTCTTGGATTTTGTTGACTATGTTCCTCCACTCTCTTCTTGCCTGTAGTGTTTCTTCGGAGAAGTCTGATGTCAGCCTGATCGGTTTTCCTTTGTATGTTATCTGTTTATTCCCTCTTGTCAGCTTCATTATTTTTCCTTGTCTTGAATTCTTGGGAGCTTTACTATTATGTGTCTTGCTGTATTTTTTCTTTTATCATGGATGTTTGGTGTTCTTCTCACTCCTTCTATGTCCATTTTCAGCTCCTTCTTCATGTTTGGGAAGTTCTCTTCGATTATCTCCTTGAATATTTTTTCTGTTCCTATGTCTCTCTCCTCCCCTTCTGGGATTCCTAT